AACAAAAGTTTACAGAAAAGTTGCATTTTCATTCATTTATTGTTATATGTTTTACCCCTTCTCTTCCCTCCCCCTCCCCCAGTTCACTTTTTATTTTTTTATCTTAGACTACATTTATTATTATTATTGTTGATATTATTATTATTTAATGAAAATTTACAGAGACTTTGGATTTCCATTCATTCATTGTTGCACTTTTCTCCCTGCCCACCCACCCCTGCCCCCCAGTTCGCTCTTCTCTTTGAAAAGTAAAAGAAACATTCTTTCATTGGTATACAATCCTTCCCCCTCCAAGTCCACTTCACTAGGCAGCCTTCATTCTGTGTCTTTGTAGAACATGGAGCTACAGCTCTTACGACAGTGATCTACAAATAGTTCGGCAAGTTTGGAGAAGAGGAGGGAATTACTCAAGGCCTTCTCACCCAGCAGGGCTGCCATTGTCACACCATCGCACTCACAGGTGGATGTATTTAATACGAGAGGACTTTCTCACTGTACGTGGATGCCAGTTCTTTTCTGTGGTCCTCCATCGTCCTCACATTCATCCCTCAAATATTTACATAATCGTCCACCCACTGTGTGTGCATAAATTCTTTTAGCAGCCCCCTCACTGTGGAATACTTAGAGTGTTTCTCCTTCTTTGATATTCTGGTAAATGCACTGAAAATCATTAGAGCTCTTCTCTTACTCTTTTACGTTCTTTCATTCTTTGTGGATTTCAACCAAGTCAAAAGCAGTAGAGCTGAATATATGTGCACATGCACGTGTGTGTACACAAAGTCTGCAAATGTACGTGTGTGCCGTGTGTGATGTGCGTTAGCAAATGCTATCAGTCATCAAGGACACAGGCAGGTGGTCAGCCCCTTTCTTTCAGTGGCTTCCAACTTCCTTTTGCCTTCTTGTCCTGGGAGCATGTGACAATGTCACTGTTGTTGTTAGGTGCTGTTGAGTCGAGTAAGACGCTCTATGAACAATAGACTTGAACTCTGTCTTTTCTTTTTGTGTGTGTGAGAAAAATCTGTATTTAGAATTAGGCAGCTGGGCTCAGTTTAGATGATCCCAATTTTGTTGGCAACATCCAAAGCATCATAGTCAGGAGCAAGTCAAATAAATATAGGCCTTCTTCTCTCCATCAGGCCTAATCAAAGTGTTGACCTTGGCCACATCAGTGTTGTGGAGCTTCTTTACAGCAGGTTTAATCTGGTGCTTGTTGGCCTTGACATCCACAGTGAACACAAGTGTGTTGTTATCTTCTATCTTCTTCATAGCTGACTCAGTGGTCAGGGGAAACTTGATGATGGCATAGTGGTCAAGCTTATTTCTCCTGTGTATGTTTTTCTGAGGGTATTTGGGCTGCCTTCGGAGTCTCCGCATCTTAGGCCACCGGAAGGTGGGTGACGTGTGGGGTTTTTTTGTCTGTGGATGCCCTTCAGGACCCCTTCTTGGCCTTTAATGCCTTTTCTTTGGCTTCAGTTTTGGGAGGGGGAGGGGCTTCCTTCTTCGCTTTTGGCACCATTTTCTTGAACTCTGTCCTTTGCTGTGTCTTCACCTTCTCTGATATATTTGGGCCCACAGATAGAGTCATTGTGCCAATCTATCTCATTGAAGTCTTCCTCTCCTCCACAGACCCTCCACCTTCCCAAGTATGATGCCTTTCTCCAAGGACTGGCCCTCCTGACAACATGCCCAAAGTATGTGAGACGAAGTTTCACCCTCCTTGTTGCTAAGGAGCACTCTGGTTTCACTTCCTCCAAGATGTATTTATTTGTTCTCTTTGGTTGTTATTGTTGCTATGTACCATCGAGTCACCTGCGACTCATAGCGACCCTCTGTACAACCTGCTCTGTCCTGTGCCAATCTTACTGTGTCCAGCACACCCACCCCAATTACCACAGTCAGGGAATCAACCCACCTCATAGATGGCCTTCCTCTACTGTGCTGTCCCTCCACACTCTCAAGTATGACATCCTTCTCCAAGGACTGGTCCTCCTTTCAACATGTCCAAAGTATGTCAGAGGAAGCCCCAGAATCCTTGCCTCCTAGGAGCAGCCTGGTTTAACACTCTCCAGGATGAATCTGTTCATTTTCTTAGGAGTCCGTGGTATATTCAATACTCTTCTCCAGCACCACAGCTCAAAGGCATCAATTCTCCTTCTATCCTCCCTAGTTATTGTCCAGCTCTCTTATGCATAGCAAATGATTGCAAAGACCATGACCTGTATCAGGTGCACCTTAGTCTCCAGAGTGACACCATTGCTCTTCAGTACTTTGGAGAGGTCCCTAACAGCAGACTTTCCCATCACACAATACGTCCTTTAATTTCCTGGCTGCTGGTGCCAAGAGTGCTGACTATGGAGCCAAGCAAACTAAAGCTGTGAACAATCCCTCTTTGGTAGTCTATTTAGTACTCCTCACCAATACCACAGTTCAAAGCCATCGGTTCTTATGTCATCCTTATTCATTGTCTAACTTTCAGATTCATAGCAACTAATTGAAAAGAATAACAGCTGGATCAGGTGCACCTTTGTCTTCAAACTGACATCCTTACTCTTTAGTGCTTTGGAGAGATCATTGACAGCAGATTCACTCGGCTTGATTTTAAAAACAGTCAGATGAAGCTGCTTTTAAATTGGTCTGTAACTTGAATGGCAGGGATACAGAGAGGTTCTCATTAGTTATTTCATTATTTCATTAATGAATTAATTTTAAAAGGTTTTGTGAGCATCTCCAATGTGTTACACACCGCTAGGTGCTGAGCACATAGCAATACACAGAACTGACAAAAATCATTGCCCGAGTGGATTGACGTCCTCTCTGGACGGGATAGGCACATCCAGTAGACTCATGTAATTCTAAGTGATGTTAAGCACTGGAGGAAAAGTGAAGCTGAGATGAGGAGAGAGAATGAAAGGAAGGAGGAAGAGACGGAGGCTGGTTTGGAGAGGATGGCGGGATGGGCCATCTGAGCAGGTGAGGCTGGTGCAAAGGGGCTGAGAAGTTCAGCCTTGCTTTTAGAGGAAAGATTGAGTCAGACAGAGGGACTACCCAGTGCAAAGGCCCTGAGGTGGGAATGTGCTCAATGTTACCCAGGAATAGCAAGAAAGGCAGTGAACTGAGAGAGCAGGTGGGAGGTCAGAGAAGCGGAAGTGCTCGAAGCTGCTGGGGAGGCCTTGGGGGTGCTAGATGCTCTGGGGCAGAGTCTCCCCACGCCATCCCACCCCCCACCATCATCATGTTCTCTCGCAGGATACAGCTCAGATCTGGAGACAAATATAAATAGTTCACTGCTATATCTGGTGATGGATGCCTTTCAGAGCTCAGAGCTCTGGGGAAATTAGTGAGGCAATGATGTTCTCTCTCTTCACTTAACTTATGCCTTATTTATCTTTGGGACTGACAATAATTTATAGGCGCTTGGGGAAGGAGGAACAGGGCTTCAAAATGTTTCCGTGGAAGAGGATAAAATAAAACTGAAACAGACCTAAATGATTCTAATTTGGGTGGTCTGAAAATGCTTCCAGAGTAGAAGAAATGAAGAGTTGGAGTCCTAGAATGGGGGGTTTGGAAAAGGTGTAGTGAGCCCGTGCAGGAGCTGCTGGGCAGTATTGTGTTACTACCGGGACGATGGAGAAAGACACATGTTCAAACTGGTGTACTTGGAGCTGGGCCCCGTTGTTTTCAACTCAGTAGGTCAAGAGCCTTGATTTGACTAATACACAAAGCAGGTGCTGCCCTCACTTCCTGAAATGGACATAGCTTTTTTTAACAGGGCTTCAGCTTGTAATTTCTCCCATTCTGATTAGAATCATTCTGATTAGAATCTGATTAGAATTCCCTCCCCCTTTAAATCCAGCTAAGTGAACAGAACTATTTTTTCTTTGACTCTTTAAGCCGAGACAAATAGAAAGACATTTTAATTTTGTTCGTTTAGAAGCAATGAACATAGAGTATCTTTCCCCCATCCTTCCTTTGCATCTAACTGCAATAGGTTGAATTCTGAGACAGGAAAGATGCCACAGGGGGAAAGAAGCAAATTTTGTGAAATTTCCCTTGTTTTCCAGGAGAGGAGCACTACAGTTGTTCATGACAAAGCAAATTTTGGAAAGATGAATCCTGTCCCCATCTCACTGCCAATCACTTGCCAGAAGCATCAGCAAATGAACAAACCACCAGGCAAGTTCCTTATGTCTCAGTCCATCAAGCTGTTAATTCTAGATCACACCACAGGTCCCACCCGTAATTTACTGCGCGATCATGGTCAACTTTAGGATCTATACAATGGAGTGGGGTTAGGGTAGAGTGCGTGTTGGGCTTGAATGACAGCCTGTATTCTTTTTAGCTTTTGAAATGCAGTGGATCTAGAAAAAAAGAGTCCTTGAGCAAGAATGGTTGTAGGAAGCTGTGGTCTAGTGTGGAATTCATGCAAACGCTAAGAATCCTTGTTGTGCCCACAAAATGCCCCTCAAAGAAATCCAGAAACATGTCTGAAATTTTAAGAGCGTTTATTGTTTCATTTTTCCACGTGTGGAGGCTCTTTCACCTTCCTCAGAAAGGTGGTGAAGGGAAAAAGCCTCGAGTGTTCCCTCCCACTTGCTTTTATAGCTTTTTCTTGGGTGCCCCTGCTAAGGCAAAGAGATTGGTGGGCCAGGGGGTCAGTCATTTGGTCAGCTTTTGGTGGGCTGGTTACTTTGCCCGCCTTTACTCTTTCTGTGTCACGTAGACACTAGTTAATTCCTTACTTTTTCAAGGACAGACTGGGTTTTACCCGGGGCACTCGTGTTTGCCCTAAGCCAAGAATTTTTATGGCCCGCTTCTGCCTCCAGCGCTAATGGGGGTTTATAAAAAAAATGGGGTTTCTGCTGCCCCTTCATCCTCAAGGAGGGGGGTGCAGCTGGGAGGGAAAGGGGAAGAAGAAGGAGGGTGGAGGGCAGGTCTCTGTTGGGACTTCCTCAGGCCTCTTGAAAGCAGAGCCTGAGGAGTCCCTGGCTTCTCCAGGTTGTTCATTCTGCCTTCAGGATCCTGATCTGATCCTGAGGGAAAGCCAGGTCAAATGTCCAGGGGCCTGAACCCCTGAGACAACATGTGGCAGAGAGATCAGAGAAGAACTAGGTCGTTAGAAGGGGACCCGTCAGAACCCAGTGCTGCACTGAGGGTTGCAGAAATAGGTCTTAAAGGTCTTTCCCATCCAGGAACCCCAGCAGGTCCTCTCAAAGCCACCACAAGTCTGTATTTTGCCTGACAGTCCTGCCTCCATTAGGAAATCGATTCCAGCAGTCCTGACTGCTTGCACGTGTCTGTCTTTCAGATTCACCTTCGAGCTGACGGCAACGTCTGACTAGCGTGTGCGGTTTGCATTTGCGTGACTCTGCCTTTGGAAGTGACATTGAATGGCTGAGTTATGATTTAGAAATCACTCATTCAGAACAAACTGTGATGAACCCCTCTCTATTTGACGTTACATTCCAAATTGTTCGTCATTGCCCACCTCTAACAAGCCCACACACACACACACACACACACACATACGCACACATACATACACAATTACACTCTTAATCTCATACATATCTAACATCCCTTGCACAGGAAAAAAAAAATAGGGTTTTTTAGAAGGAATATATAAAAACACAAGGGTCTGAATCTTTTGTACTGAATGAAGATTGGACACCCCTAATTATGATGCAGGCTCAGAAATTAAATGATAGGGACGGACTGAATAATGTCCCCAGGATGGAACAACATATCCCTCTGGAGCTTGACATCTATTTGGGGTGGTGTCTTAGTTTCGCAGTGAATCCTAACTTCAGTTCAAGCTAAACTGTCCTGGCTCAGTTCTAGACCTCTCTCCAGGACGCACCCAGCACCCCCCTTGCACCACAAAGATGGCACCAGTGTCAGGGGGGCATAAGTTATTTTTTTTCTGGCCTTCCAGGTTTGGTTATGGATTTGTCAACGCCGTTTTCAACACCTGATCCCTTTAGTCTCCTTTGCCACACCAGACCATGCAGACCGTTGCTGGATGAGCTCTCAAGGTTTTCAGAGACTTGGAGTGTCTGCATGATGGATGGTGGGGTTCGATTATCACTGAGTGGCCCCTTAAATGTCCTTGACTGCAGACTTTCCCAGTGCAACATATTTCCTCATCTCCTAACTGCTGGCATCAAAGGTCTTGATTGTGGATCCAAGTAAGTTGAAGTTTTTGACAGTTTCAGTCTTTATCTACCACCAATGTCCAGTGGTGAGAATTTTTTGGTGTTATTTTTTTTGATGTTGAGATATAGTCCATATTGAAGGCTGTATTCTTGGATCATCTACAGCAAGCACTTCAACAGAGGGATTGGTCTCAGGAAAGAGAGGTTCTGTTTTGGATAATCACCAGTCATCTCATCTCTCTGAAACATGATGGTATCTACAGCCATACCAACCTGAATGTGCCAAATTTCATCTGAAATACAAGGGAGTCCCAGGGGAAAAGATCACGGTTCTTCTCTACACCCTTGAAACTCCATGTGTTCCTGGGCGAGCAACACTGCGGTCAGCCAGGCATCTGCTCAGGCCCCAGCCCAGCCTTGCTGAGTCAGCGCCCTCACTGCAACACGGTCCAGGTGATTCACACCAGAGTTTGACAAGTGCCAGGTGCGTGAGGTCACACCAGCCTCTTAGAGCTGGACCTCATACGAAGCTCATTAGCTGGGTGGCCTCAGGTCTCTTTGCCCTCTCAAAGCCCGTTTCCTCACCTGCAGGGCAGTAACCTCTGGTTCAAATGTGTGCAAAAGCCCTGCCTAAGTGTGGTGAGCTGACCCCTCGATTGATTGTGACTCCCAGGAGCCCTGTATGACAGAGTAGAACTGCCTCAGAGGGCTTCCTATAGAATCTCTTTAGAGGACAAGAGCCCCAGAGTGGGATGGGATTGGTAGATGAGGACTATCTGTAAGTGGTAGGCGGAAGGTTCTATCTCAGGCTCCCGTCTGGGCCTCTCCCAGACAAATGAGTGCTCTCTACCAATGGGGAGAAGGGGTCCTTTTTCACAAAGCCAGGGCCCAGGGATCAGGATGGAAGCAGGGTTCAGCCTGAAGCTGACCACAGAGGCCCTCTCACTTAGAGTCGTCCATTGCTGGGGCTGAGAACTCCAGGTTATGTCCAGCCCACACTTCCCAAGCCCTTTAAAAGTTGTCTAACTATAGGAATTCATCCCTGGGTGCCAAGTCTCAGGCCTTCTTCACAACCAAATGGAGCCCTTTGGCCCCAACAGACACAGGAAGGGACAGAATAAAATCACTTTAATAGCATAGCAACGGGGAGGGCCAGCAGCCACAGATGAGGGGACACTGCACCTTCCACTTGTACACATTAGTGGAGGTACACGCTTGCAAGGGACAATCTTACAGACAAGTTTTTCACATGGAGAATTTAATAAATAGATACTTAAAGTGTCAACCATCAGAGACAGCGAGTTACGTCGGTGAGGATTATTCTGCCTTCTCTGAGACTGGAGGTTGCTTCCGGTCCAACCATTGAAGGCTGGGGGGCCCTAGGAGGGGTACTCATACTCCTCAGCACTGCGGCGGCCGAAATCCATCCAGCCCAGGTA